TGTTCTGGACTTTGGCCATTCTAATAGGTGTGTGTATAGTTATTTTAACTTGCATTTCCCTGATGATGTATAATGTGGAGCATCTTTTCATATTTTTTTTTGCCATTTGTATATCTTCTTCGATGAGGTATTTGTTCAGGTATTTGGCCCATTTTAAAACTGGGTTATTTGTTTTCTTACTGTCAAGTTTTAAGAGTTCTTTCTATGTTTTGGTTAAGTCTTTTATCAGATGTATCTCTTGGAAATATTTTCTCCTTGTCTGTGGCTTGTCTTTTTGTTCTCTTGACATTGTCTTTCACAGAGAAGTTTTTAATTTTAATAAACTCAAGATTATCAATTACAGCTGACCCTCCCTATCTGTGGTTTCCACCATCCATGAATTCAACCAACCACAGATCGAATATATTAGAAAAATAAAAGTAATAATGATACAATAAAAATAATACAAATAAAAATACAATATAACAACTATATACACAGCATTTACATTGTATTGTGTTAGGTATTGTAAATAATCTGGAGATAATTTAAAATATACAGAAGGATGTGCATAGGTTATATGCAAATACTACATCATTTTATAAAATAAATTTGAGCACACGAATTTTGGTATCTGTGGGGCGTCCTGGAATCAATCTCCTGTGGATACTGAGATATGACTGTATTTCTTGCATATCTTTGGTGTTGTATTTAAAAAGTCATTGCCTGGTAAAAGATAACAAGTGTTGGTGAGAATATGGAGAAAATGAAACCCCTGTACAGAGTTGGTGGGAATGTAAATTAGTACAGCCATTATGGAAAACTACATGAAGGTTTCTCAAAAAACTAAAAATATAGCTACCACGTGATCCAGCAATCCTACTAAAGGGGTATATATACAAAATAAATGAAATCAGTATGTTGAAGAGATGTCTGCACTCCCATATTCATTGCACCATTATTCACAATAGCCAAGATATAGAATCAACCTAATTGCCCATCAATGGATGGATAAAGAAGATGTGATATATATACACAATGGAATAATATTCAGACAAAAAAAAAAATGCTGTCATTTGCAACATTGTGAATGAACCTGGAGGGCATTATGTTAAGGTAAAGTAGCCAGGCACAGAAAGACAAATACTGCATGATTTCACTTACATATGAAATCTAAAAAAGTCTAATAATAGAAGCAGAAGTAGAATGGTGGGCCAGGGGATTGGGGAAATGTCAAGGAATACAAAATTTCAGTTAGAGAGGGTTTTTGCCTCTTCAAATAAACTTAAGAATCAGTTTGTTGATATCCACAAAATAACTTGCTGTGATTTTGATTAGGATTGTATTGAATCTATAGATCAAGCTGGAAATAACTGACATCTAGACAATAGTGAATCTTCCTATCCACGAACATAAAATGTCTCATTTATTTAGTTCTCTGATTTCATGTATTAGTCTTATACTTTTCCTCATATAAATCTTATATATATATATACACACACACACATATATATATACATAGTTAGATTTATGCCTAAGTAATTCTTTCCTGGGGGTGCTAATATAATGGTGTTGTTTTTAATTTAAAATTCCACTTGTTAATTGCTGGTATATAGGAAAATGATGGACTTTTATGTATCGATCTTGTATCCTGCCACCCTGCTATAATTGCTTATTAGTTTCAGGAGTTTGATTTGTTCAGATTTCCTATATAGACAATCATGCCATTTTGAACACGGCATGGTTTATTTCTTCCTTCACAATCTGTATGCATTTTCTTTTCTTTTTTTCTTATTTTATTAGCCATGATTTCCACTATGATGTTGAAAAATAGTAGAAAGAGGGGACATCCTTGTCTTGTTCCATATCTTAGTGGGAAATCATCCAGTTTCTCACCATTATGGATGATGTTAACTGTAGGTTTTTTGTAGATATTCTGTATCAAGTTGAGGAAATTCTCCTCTATTCCTAGTTTATTGAGAGTTTTTACCATGAATTGGCATTGGATTTTGTCAAATGCTCTTTCTATATTTATTGATACGATCATGTGATTTTTTTAACCTGTTGATGCAATGAATTGCATTAATTGATTTTCAAATGTTACACCAACCCTGCTTACCTGCGATAAATCTCACTTTGTGTATAATTCTTCTTATACATTGTTGGATTCAATTTGGTAATATTTTGTTGAGCATTCTTACATCTATGTTCATGAGAGATTGATATATTTTATGTCTATGTTCATCAAAGATATTGTCCTAAATTTTCTTTTTCTTGTAATGACTTTTTCTGGTTTTGATATTAGGGTGATTTTGGCCTCATGGAAAGAGTTAGAAAGTATTCCTCTGCTTCTATCCTCTGAAAGAAATTGTAGAGAATTGGTATAATTTCATCCTTAAATGTTTAGAGGAATTCACCAGTGTTAGTAGAGACTTAGTACCATTTCTTCCTTAATGTTTGGTAGCATTCATCAGTGGTCAGCCATGTCTCTAGTGTTTTCTTTTTTGAAAGGTTATTAATTATTGATTCAATTTTTTAAATAAATGTAGGCCAATTCTGTTTGTCTATTTCTTCTTATGTGAGTTTGAGCAGATTACATCTTTCAAGGGATTGGTCCATTTCATCTAGTTTATCAAATTTGTGGGTAAAGAGTTGTTCATAGCATTCCTTGATTATGCTTTTAATGTCCATGGGATCTGTAGTGATGTCCACTCTTTTATTTCTTATATTAGTAATTTGTGTCCTCTCTTTTTTTTCTTAGTTTGCCTGGCAGGAGGCCTATCAATTTTATTGATCTTTTCAAATAATCATCTTTTGGTTTTATCACTTGTCTCTGTAGATTTCCTATTTTCAAGCTCATAGATTTCTACTCTAATTTTTATTAATTATTTTTCCATTTACTTGAATTTATTATTCTCTATCTAGTTTTCCAAGGTTGAAACTCAGAGCACAGATTTTAGGTCATTCTTATTTCTAATACATACATTTAATGCTATAAATTTTCCTCTAAGCACTGCTTTTGCTGCATCCTGCAGATTTTGTTTTGTTTTCATTTTCATTTAGTTTAAAATATTTATAAATTTCTCTTAAGATTTCTTATTTGACCCATGTTTTACTTAAAATGTGCTGTTTAATCTCCATTAATTTTGGAATTTTCCAGTTATATTTCTGTTATTGACTCCTTGTTTAATTCCACTGTGGTCTGAGAGAAGATGTACATGATTTTTACTCTTTTAAATTGTTAAATTTAATGTTTTAATGTTTTATGCCCAATCTGTGGTCTATCGTTGGTGAATGTTCAATATCAGCTTGAGAGGAGTATGTATTCTGCTGTTGTTGGATGAAAAAGTCTATAAATTTCAATTATATACAGTTGATTAATGGTGCTGTTGAGTTCAACTATGTCCTCACTGATTTTATGTCTATCTGTCTGTCCATTTCTGATAAAAGGTGTTGAAGTTTCCAACTATGATGGTGAATTCACCTTTTTGCAGTTCTTTTTTTCAGTGTGATGCTTCCTTGTTAGGTGCATATACATTAAGGACTGTTTTGTCTTCTTGGATAACTGACCCCTTTATTATTATGTGGTGCCCCCTTTTTATTCCTGATAAATTTCTTTCATCTGAAGTCTTCTCTGTCTCAAATTAATATAGCTACCTCTGCTTTCTTTTGATTAGTGTTAGCATAGTATATTTTTCTCCATCCAGTTACTTTTAATCTATATGTGTCTTTATATTTAAAGTGGGTTTCTTACAGATGACACGGTTAGGTCTGTTTTTGGATCCACTCTGACAGTCTCTTTTAATTGGTGCATTTAGACTATTGATGTTCAAAGGAATTGCTGATATACAGTAGTCCTCCCCTTATCCAACTGAAATGAGAATACATTTCAAGATCCCCAGTAGATGCCTGAAACCATAGATAGTACCAAACCCTATATATACTATGATTATGTACCTATGATAAAGTTGGATTTATAAGTTAGGCACAGTAAGAGATTAGCCAACAATAATAATATACAAAAATTATAACATTATACTATAAGTAAAATAAATGTTACTTGCATAAGGATTGTGATACTGTGAGTTGATCTAGCTGACATGGCTACTAAGTGACTTATGGATGGGTAGTATATACAGAGTGGATATACTGGACAAAGGGATGATTCATGTCCCAGGTAGGATGGAGTGGGACAGTGTGAGATTTCATCATGCTACTCAGAATGATGCATAATTTAAAACTTATGAATTGTTTATTTCTGGAATTTTCCATTTAATATTTTCAAACTACAGTTGACCATGGGTGAGTGAAACCATGGAAAGGCAAACTGTGGATAACTGTGCTACTGAGTTGGATGAATAGCTACCAAATGTGTACCATATTTATTACTGTTTTCTATTCGTTGCCTTTGCTCTCTGTCCCTATTTTTGTATTCCACTTTTTCTGCCTTTCTGGTTTTAATGGAACATCTTATGTAATTCTATTTTCTCTCTTTTATTTGCATATGTTATACTTTTTTCCCCTTTTTTTAAAGTGGTTGCCCTAGGGTTTGCAATATATATTTACAAGTAATCCAAGTCCTCTTTCAAATAATACCATACCTTTTCATGGGCAATGTGAGTACCTTATACTCACAAAATAAGCCTAACTCCTGCCTTCCATACCGTATATCATTGCTGCTGTTCACTTCAATTTTATATAAGCATACAAAGCATATGTGTGTGTGTATATATATATATGATATATGAGGGTATTTTTAAAAGTTCATGGAAAAATAGAATTAAAAGATAATACAAATCTTTTCATGAACTTTTTGAAGTACCCTTATAAACATAAGCATACATAATTGAATGCACTGTTGTTATTGTTTCTATGCACTTTATTTTTTTTTAAATTGACACAATAATTGTACATATTTTTGGGGTACAGAGTTTCAGCTTTGCACAACAAAAATAGTTTTAGATCTGGATGGTGGTGATGGTTGCACAACAATGTGAATATACTTAATATGACTAAACTTTACATTTAAGAATGGTTAAGATAGTAAATTTTATGTTATATGTATTTTACCACAATAAAAAAAATTGGTAACATATATTGGAGAAAAATACCTGTTATCAGTGACATTGGTAGACTCCAGGACATGTGTAAACACTCTGAGAGGACTGACTACAAAGTGCAGCTAAAGCTAAGATACGAACACATGAGATGAATGGGTTTTCATGGTGTCATCTCCAAAAAAAAGATAAAACAAAAGGAAAAAATCTCATCAGTTGAGTTGCTTATTTTAAATCCTTATTCTGATTTTATTTTATCCTATAACTAGTTCAAATCCTCAAATGACTAAGGGATTTTCATGGCTATCAGAATAGGACTTGGGCTGGAGAGTCCCTGGAGACGCCTCCTTTTTCAGTCCCTCTTAAATATTGGTTTAAGTAAGAGCTCTTCTAGCTGGCTGTTGTATTGGCTTGCAGCTTTGAGGGTGTGTCGTTAGACTCATCCACCTTCTCATAATCTAAGAAGAAGATGTGGAGCCAGGAGGTATTTCATGAATAAATTCATGCTGAAAAGCCTCCTGGTAATTTACTTCTTGTGGAGTTTCAAAGTCCCGGTCAGTCTGGCCAGCTGACTCCAAAGGAGCAACCTGTTGAGACATTCCTGTAATCATATTGGAAGTACCTGGCAGGAATTCCTGCTTCAAGGCCTCCTTCTCAAGTGGTTTCATGTCTTCCTTCACAAGTATGGTCTTTGTGGAAAGAGCTTTGGAAATCAAATCCTAAACAGAAAATAAAAAGCAAAAAAGTTATTAGCAAAAACTAAAATACAATCAAGTATGGCAAGAACACTATATTGCTGTTTTCATGCTTAAGACTAAGAATAAAACTGAAACAGACCCTTTCTAACAAAGCATAAAATCAAATCTGATAGGATCAAGGTAATTTACAAATAATTTAACTGCCTGTCAGAACAAAACTCAAAACTTTTTAAAGAGAAACAACACACTCTAGACTCCTGACAAAACATCATCTACGATGTTTACTAGACATGTGAAGAAGTAGGAAAATATTTACTAGACATATGAAGAAGTAGGGAAGTGTGAACTATAATCTAGATAAAAAATATTCACTAGAAAGATATCCCCAAATAACATATGATGGAATTAGCAGACAGGAACTTAAAACAGCTATATAAATATTTTCAAAAATTTAAGGGAGAAAAATGGACATAATAAGCAAAAGTTAGGGTATATTGGCAGAGAAAATGGAAAATATAAAAAAAGAACAAGATAGAAATTCTAGAAGTGAAAAGTACAATATCTGTACTTTTTTGAAAAAATTTAGTGAATCCCTAATAGAACATTGGCCATTGCAGAAGAAAGAGTCAGAAAGTAACCTGAAGGCAGATCAATTGGATTTATCCAAACTAAAGCACAGAGAAAAAAAAGATTTAAAAAAATGAACAGAGCCTCAGTGATCTATGAGACAATGTCAAGCAGTCTAACATCTCTGTACGGTAGCTGTAGTCCCTGGCTGAGGTATGAATTTTTGCAACTTAAGCTCTATTGACTACTTCCATACCATCTTTGCCTGGAAGTCCCAGACAGAGGTCCATTCTGCAATGAACCCCATGGGCACTGCAGAGAGGTCTGTGAAGTATTTGTGAAGGGTCCACATGATCTGTAACACCCTTCTAACTTCAAAGTGTTGAGTCTGCTCAGCAAATATCTATTGATTCTATAAAAATGTATTTCTAAAATATTTGTGTGCTTTATATCAATAGGAATTACTTTCTAACTTAGAAACAAAATTGTGGTTTACTTACTTGAAGCTGCCTCTCCCTAATAAAGAGAAACCAATACAAGGGCAACGTTTGCTTTTTTCTACACCCGGCTCAAATGCTACCTCTTCTATGAAGTGCTTCTTTATTCCTATGATTGAATGTGATCTCTACCACACATAACATTGTTTCTATTCTTTTTTTGACACATTCACTAGACTAGTAGTGTTCAATCTGGGGTACTCAAAGACTTGCTAAGGTGTATAAAAGCAAAGGTAGTTTTAAGAGTTTAAGAAAAAATCTTGCAAAGTGTTGAGTATGTGTATATAAGCCCATCAGATAAACCAGCAGGCCTGATGAAATTTTATGCAACCCATCCTGGGTAGATTTTAAACCAGGTTCCCAGCACTCATGACCCAAAATTTAAAGGTGACCAATAGCAAGGAATAGTTTGTAATTCACCTTAAATCAATCCGAATCCAGAATTTGGAATCTTGTTTTATTTAATATACCTCCATCTCTTTGCCCTTCATCTAGTCCTCTCAAATCCTACTTGGAGAGTAACTCATGCCTCAGTGCATGGCTCTCCCCTGCCAGGTAAGCAATAAATTCAGCTCTGTTTTAGATCACTGTTGGCTTCTCTGTTTATTTCCTTCTAAAAAAGGGAATCAATTTCCATAATCACAACTTGCATATGAACTCTTTCCTAAAACTGAGAACGTGCACACAGTCTAGGCATCATGCTGGCTCTCATTTCCCATCTTCCCTTACAATTGCCTTTGTCTCACACTTGGCAAAAGAATGGCATACCTTTTATTTATCTAAATCATGCTAGGGAATATAGCTACAGGATGCAAAATCTGAGTGCAACACTAAGGGACAATTCAAAATATTGGTGTGAGCAAAATTTTCTTTAAAAAAGGTACCATAAAACTAGGGTAGACTTTTGGGAATCTTTTCCTGCTTATACGTTTCTATTTCTATTAACAGTAAAGCATGGTGTTAGAAAAAGATTAGAGTGAACAGCAAGGGGATGACAACTTTTGCTTAATGGTCATCACCTCTCTCATCCCCAAATAGTTTCTCAAAGAATAAATCTTTTGTGAGGGAGAGTTCCCCTAGACTATTGTCAAACAATTGTATGAAACCATCTTTCTTTTGATTTAACTTATTTACAAAACATCCAGCTTTAAACAAATAAATCTATTAATTGTTTATGAGGATGCTAGGGATATTAGTATAAATGTAAATAAGCTTAATATTTTCATATCTTCAAAGTTGGCTTTGGAAACTAGCAAAAACTAGTGAGTTGTACAGAACTGCATAAAGATTTTAAGGTACAGGATGTAGTGATATCTAGGAAGAGGATGGATATCAAGCCCAACATTACAATTATATCAATTCCCTATCCAGGTATCATGTACTTTGTAGAAAGCATAAAATGGCACAAGACATTTTTCAGGCAATTGTGAAAAAAAATTGTGGGAGATAAAAGATATGCTTGTTAGACTGATGAATGCAGAGCTGTTTCCAACTATTCCAAGTTAATAATTTATGTCCACTATTACAGTATCATAAAGGAGGCATCTGAGGCTTGACGCAAATAAGTACTAAACAAAATATCTAAAGTATGTACTGATAACAACCATATTTGGTTTCTGAAAATTACTGAATAATTTTTGAAAAGGGCTCAAAGAATCTTATATAAAAAAACATTTATTCCTGGGTGAATAGATTTTTTAAAAATTTGATTTTTCTTATTTTTTTGGTAGCTGGCTGGTAAAGGCATCCAAACCCATGACCTTGGTGTTATAAGGCTGTGCTCTAAATAAACTAAGCAAACTGGCCAGCCCCAAATTTGATCTTTTTAAAACCAGTAACACTAGTGATATATTTTAAAATCTAAAATGAATTTGCCTTTTAAAATTTCCTTCTTTAATTGACAAGGATTATCAATAATAATAATCAAGGATTATCATGCTGAGTTTCTCATCCCTACCTTGTGACACTTTTCACACTTCTGTTGAATCTGACCCTCTGCTTGCTTCAGCATTTTTGTTACTTCCACTTCCTTGAGGCTACTGTCATATTCCTCCTTCAGCTGGATCTTATCTTGCCCATTCTGGGATTATACAACAAAGTGGAATCAGGTCAGCACGTAGGAAGACTTATAAACAGGCCCTCACTCACTGCGGGGAGACATAGGCCCTGAGCCCTATGGTTTGCTGAGTTTCCTCCTGCAACCAGCTTTAGCCTGCTGATAGCTCCAAACTCACCAACTCCACAACCCGTCTGAGTTGGAGTCCCTCTTTAGCTCCTCACACTTCAGGGATATCTGGGCCTAAGGGGTCCTGGCAAGTTGAATAAACCAAGAAACTCCCCAGGCCAGCTTCAGAATCCTGCCTTGGATTTCAAATTACTCTGGGAAAGCTGAGCCCTCCCTAAGAAGGCCCAGTACACATAACACACCTCTTCTTTTGCATTAGCTGTTTTTTTATGATGATAAAGCCTGTGAGCCAGGTACTCTATTGGGTCATTCGGTCGAACCTTTGCCACCTCTGCCAGTGCCTGGGTCAGGCAGTTTCCAAAGCACCTCTTCAGGTAGTCAGTTTCCATCCTGGGGGGCCTGGGCAACATCAAAGCAGAGTCACACTATTTTAAAAATTTAATCTGATTTTAAAAATAGACACATTCTAACCAATTCAGATTTATTTCAAGATAAATATGAGATATTTCCAGACCCCACCAATTCCAAAAGAACCAACAAATACATACTTGCCAATAGCTCTTATATTCAAATAGACTTTTTTCTAAAGCTCTCTAGCTGTACTAGGTCAGACAATAGGTCCCGGGGGTCATCAGGCCTGAGAGGAGCTTGATACATTGGTGGTTAAAATTGGCCAAGGCCTCCACTTACCCACACATTTCTATCCTTGAGTAGGGAGGAAATAACTCCCTTATTTAATAATTTCCTGAGCAAGGTAGGAAATCCCCAAGAGGGGCTCTGAGCACCCAGCAAGCTGTGCTATTGTGAGGTTGGAAGCTACAGTCATGTATGACATATGTAGATAAGACAGGCTCAATTATTTCACAAGGGACCACAGAAAAGTCCTGGGAAAAAGAAGAAGGGAAAATGCTAGGCATTACAGCTACTGCTGGTCAGGGGTTCTGCCAGCACCTAACACAATATTCCACTCTCTATTGCTTACGCAAGAAACTTTATTTCACAAGGGACCACAGAAAAGTCCTGGGAAAAAGAAGAAGGGAAAATGCTAGGCATTGTAGCTACTGCTGGTCAGGGGTTCTGCCAGCACCTAACACAATATTCCACTCTCTATTGCTTACGCAAGAAACAATTTTAGGTTAGGTTGATGCCCTTGGATTTACTATTAGATTTCAAGCACTGGAGGCAACGTAGCCTGAGTTAGAACGTAAGTCAGGAGCAGCAGTGACGCGTAGCAATAGAAATGCAGACTCTTGGATCAGACAGACCAAGTTCCAGTCCTGGTTCTGCTACTTATATGCTGTGTGATCTTCAGCAAGTCACTCAGTCTCTCTGAGCCTCAGTTTCCTCATCTGTAGAACAGAAATAACAAAAGTATGTACCTCACAGTAATTAGAAGATTGGGAGAGATAACAAACATGTGAAAGGCACTTAGCCTGACACATAGTAAGTGTTTAATAAATATTAGCTATTACAGTGGTAGGTTATGCCATGAAATGGCCTAGCACCAGCCTGCTCCTGACCAACTCCATATTCTTGAAGTTTACACATTTTAACTGCAAAAGAGCCCAATGAATAATAAAGGCTCAGATCCAGCCTTAACATTTTCTGGAGATATTTTTCAGTTTGTTCCTTTCCCATACCTCTACCCCCGCCCCACCACCATTTTTCAGTTTAAGGAAGGAAAGGTAGACAGATAAATAGATAAAGATATAGAAAAAAATATATTTCCTAGCTCTCTCCTTTTTCCACGCAAGGGCCTAGAAGCCAAAACACTTCAGTAGCAAGGAGCACATAAGCATTCAGAACTTGTGTTTAAATAGTCTTCATCACTTAAAAGGAATCAGGGCTCCTTGAAGAAATAAATGGCTGATTCCGAGGCTGGGGCAGGAAAGGTCTAATGAGCCTAGAACATTTTATTGTGCCAAAGTAAGAAAATTATAAAAAATAAAATGACTGGGGACACAAAAGCCAGCTTGAAGCGGCTCTCACTAGCCAAATCTGGGGCAATTTGACCATTAAAATAAATACCGACTGTAAAGAATTATAGCATCCATAGAATAAAATAAGAATCCATAAGTCTTTATGAGAATGAATAAGCATATGAATGGGGGAGAAGGCAAAGTTCTTTCTTAAAGTAGAATGCCAATTTATAAATATTGAAAGAATAATGGAGTTTAAAACTTGCCATCATAGTACAACTGAATCAAGCCAGAATCATCGACTGCTAAAACTGGGTGAATATTTCAGGAGAAATAGGATATTCCTTACATACACAGTCTCAAAGTTTCTTCCCACAGATTAGTATTAATTCCAAAGGGAAATATAGAAACTTTACACTGGTGAAACCTGGCTGACACAACCTTAACCAAATGACCAAAATAAATGTCACCAATACAGGGACAAGTGACATCACAGGCCTCCTCATATGATGTACTTCTTTCACAGCACAGTACAGTCCTGTGGATTCCCACCCCAAATGCAAAATTTGAATCTAATTGAGGAAACATCAAACAAAGCCAAATTAACAGACAGTATGCAACTGGCCTATACTCTTAAAAATGTCAAGGTATACTCTTAAAAAAAAAAGATGAGGAACTGTTATAGATCAAAGAAGACTAAACAGTCATAATAATTATATGTACATAATCGTAGATGGGATCTGGGCCAGAAAAAAGAATTCTATAAAGAACATTGTTGAAAAAATTGTATAAACTGAATGTGAATTGTAGATTATGTAATAGAATTTATCAAGGTTAAATTTATTTTGAATAATTGAAATATGAGTAAGTAAGAGAATGTCCTTGTTCTAGGGCTGAATAATGGTTCCCAAAGTAGTCTATGTCCTAATACCTGGAACCTATGGATATGTTACTTTATATGGCAAAAGGGACTTTGCAGATGTGATTAAGAATCTTGAGGTGAGGGGATTATCCTGGATTATCTGAGTACGTACAATGTAATCATAAGGGTCTTTATAAGATGGAAACAGTAAGGTCAGACAGGGAAGACTATGTGATGACAGAGCAGCGGGAGAAAAGGCAATGTCATTCAGGGTCATGAGCCAAGGGTAGCCTCCAGGGCTTGGAAACTTCCTAGAGCCTCCAGAAAGAACTAGCACTGCCACTACTGTGGCTTTAGCCCTGTAAGACTCATTTTCAACTTCCTTTTTTAAATTCATTTTTCAATTGAAACGTAATTGATTACAAATATTTATGGGATACAGAGTTGACTATCAGTATTTATGTACAATGTGATGATCGAATCTGTATTATTAGCATGTTCATTACAGATCATAATTATTCTTTTACTCTGTAACCCTTTCCCCGACTCCTCCCCCACCTCTAGTAAACATAGGTCTGTTCTCTCCTTCTGAAAATTCCACATATTATTTCCTTCCTTCTCTCCTTTCTTCAAGAGAATGATTTTTTTTAAAGCCACCAAGTTTAGAGTAGCAGTAGAGGGGTTGGTATAGGTGTGGGTGGTGTTTCCTTCTGCCAATCTGTGGTCCACCTGAACCAATGTATCTGGATAAACAATCTTCTATACTTCCTGTACTCAAAGTGTGGTCCAATAATGTAGCATTCTATCACCTTGGGGCCTGTTGAAATGTAGATTCTCAGGTCTGCCGCCAGAGCTAGAGATTCAGAATTTGCATATCAACAAATCCTCAAGTGATTCGAAGTTACAGATCTGCTTTGCCCTCACAACTGTAGAACCCGCCTCCCGGAGGGCAGGATCACCAACGCTGCATTCTCAGGATGCCTCTCCATTCCCCGGTCATTGGGTGGCCACCATGCTGCTTAGGAGAAAACACCTTCTCTAAATTGCACAATTTTGAAAATGATCTCAATGAAATAGGTTGACCTGACAGTTGCTAAGATTTGGTGCAAAGACAGTAGAGCCAGAATAGAGTCACCACGTGAGGCCTGGAGAGGGAAAGATCAAAGGGATGCCTTTTATAGTCTGCTCCCCACCCACTCGGGGCACACTCACCAAGCGGGGCTACTTTTTGGGGTTTCCTGAGGGTCTGCTTACACTGGTCTTCCTTGTTCATGGCCTTGCACTCAGTAGCAGGGCACTGAGGATAGGGGTTGTCTTTGTTCACACTGTATCCCCAGGGCTTGCACACACTGGCTGCGCAGTAAACATTCCTTGACTTAATCATGAGGGCCCACAAAAGGGCTCTTGCTCCCTCGGATCCATCAGTGCTCACTCTGGCACTTATTCCCTCAATCAACCTTTGCTGAGTCCTCTCCTGCCCGGCACTGCCCAGCCCGTAAGTTAGAACACGAGAAATGAGAGCGGAGAATTGGGCACAAACCGCTAGGTCGGGAAAGGCTGCGACCGCTGGGGCCTGGACGAGGTCGGACGGCTTCCTGGAGGCGGGGGCGCCTGGGATGGTTCTGAAAGGAACCGAGCAGAAGTCCCCAGCAAGTGCAACGGCGCGGAATCGTGACACCGCCGAGCCAGGGAGCCTGCGACGACGGTCCCGCAGGGACTCAGGGCCTTTCCCGTCCTCCTCAGGCAGCCCTTCCGGGTCCCTCCCCTGAAGTCCGCTGCCCCTTCATTCCTCCCACAACACGCCAGCCTGCCGGCCGGGTTCCATGGCCCTTTTCCGCCGCCCCCTCCTCTCTGTCGCTCGTGCACCCTCCAGACCCCGCGCCCCGGCGCTCACCCTTCCGCGCCGCCTGGTCTTCACCGCGCGTCTGCTGCGCGGGCGCTCGTTGCCCAGCAACGGGACGCGACTCCCGGATGCAGCGCAGGCGCGTGCGTCGGGCGCGCGCTCCGAGAAGGCGCGAGCGTTTTCGAGAACTGTTAGTCTCCAGGTCGTTGGGCTCGGGCGGGCAGAGACGGTTCTGACGGTTGGACCCGGCGAGTGGCGTTGGACCCGGCGGCAGCGGGCGGTTGGTGAGCGGCGTCGGCCTCTCCGCGGACGCCGGTGGGAAAGCAAACCCGAGTGCCCAGGGCGGCGGTTGGCGGGTAAATACTGCACGCCCAGCTTAATCTGAATTTCAGGTAAGCGAGTTACTTTCTAGTACGACTGTAGCATACGACTAGGTTATTTATTGTTTATCTGAAATTGCAGTTAAACTGTGTGTGGTGCCCTGTCGTTTGCTCAACCCGGCACCCCTGCGGCTTCGCTCCCTTCCCAGTTGCTGGCGGCTCCCTCCCGGGGCGTGGGCAGGAGGCCTCCTTCTGTCTTTTGCGGCAACATCCTCAGGCTGGGGGCAGCTTTTTCTGTGGGAAAGGGCTTTCTTATGTTGAGCCTAGATGCTCATTATGTGAGAGATAACTTACAACAGGAGAGATGGGCATTGTCGTCATGTTATGGTCAGGAAACATGCTAAGCGATTTGACGAGCTTCACCTGGGTCCCAACGATGGGCCCAGAGATCCAAGACAGATCTTCAACTTGGCCTGACTCTTAGGCCGGAGGTTTTCTCCTAGAGGACAACTGTCCCCTTTCCATAGTTTATCTTTCTGATGCAGCAGCAGCAGTCCGTTCCCCTTTTTATGTTACTTCACTTCAAATAACATCGAGATGTTGCTGTGGGTTAATTGAATTGTATTTCCTAAAGTTCATATATTAGAAGCTTAAGGGCCGGCCCGGTGGTGCACTGCTACAGTGTGCCGCTTGGGAGCGCGGTGGCACTCCCGCCGAGGGTTCGGATCCCACATACAGACCTGCCGCTCACTGGCTGAGCGAGGTGCAGGCGCAACACCGAGGGTTGCGATCCGTTGCCGGTCACGAAAAAAGACAAAAAGGAAAAAAAAAAAAAAAAAAGAAGCTTAATTTCCTCTATAACTGGTGAGGGTGGGAAATCCTATAACAGTAATTGAAAGGTGGGGCCCTGAAGAGGTGATTAGATTGTAGGACCATGCCTTAGTAAATGGATTAATAATGATGATCAGGGGTGTGTATCTGAGAGCTTTAAAAGGAGAGCATATGAAAGTCTCTGTCTCTGCTTCTACCATCTTGCAGTGTGATACCCTGTGTGGCTGTAAAGCCACCCGCAAAAAGGACCCTCACCAGATGTGTTCCCTGGACTTTGGACTTCACAGCCTCAGTAACTTTAAGCAACAAATTTGATTCTTTTATAAATTGCCCAGTTCTAGGTATTTTGTTAAGCAATAGAAATGGACTAATACAGATATCCAAGTAGTATTTTTGTCTTTGGAGTATATCCCACTGAGGAAGTACAGTGTAGATCCTGTGTTCCCAAGTCAGTTGGAATAATAATTCTTTTCTCAGTGTAGTTAGAGTACCAACACCCAGAGAGCACTCTGTATTTTAGAGCGCTTTCTCATTCTTTATCTGCATAATAATCCACTGTGTTGCTATAGCTCATCAGTCCCCTATTTGTTCCAGTTTTGACTATTGTAAATAATGGTGCACACAACTGTGTGCATATACCATTTCATATTTTTGCATGTGTATTGAGATAGGACTCAAGCAGTGAGATTGGTAGGTCAAAGGGGGTTAACCCAGGTGATTTTTTAGAATTTGCCAATTCTCCTCCATAGGGGTAATATCATTTTGCTCTCCCACCACTATCATATGACAGAGAGCAATATTGGGGCCTATGGATGGGCCCCAGGATGTAAATGTTTCTGAAATTTTATGCAAAATGTTAGGTGATTTTGTCCAGGGACAGGTCTAGACACATTGGCATTTTATTCCCTGTAATTTCCATGCTCATTCCTATATCAGGGCCTTTTCATGTACTTGGAAGATTCTGCTTTCTATTCTTTGTCTTGTTAATTTTACTGTTCTTTCAGTAAATTTGAGCTTGGTTCAGATGTCACCCTTCAGAGAAGGTTTCCTTGACTTGTCTGTTGTTCATAGCACTTATTTCATTTACTTACATTTATTGAGTTGGATATGTGGTTGATATTTGTCTTCCCTGTTCATCTGTAAGCTCCATGAAGGCAGAGACTGTTTTTATTTTAGTGCAGGCTGCTATAACAGATTATCATAGGTTGGGGGACTTAAACAATACCCATTTGTTTCTCACAGTTCTGCAGGCTGGAAAGTCTCAGACCAAGGCATTGGCACTTGTGGTGTTTGGTGAGAGCCCTCTTGCTGGTTTGCAGATGGCTGTCTTCTAGTTGTGTTTTCACATGGCAGAGAGTAGAGTAGAGAGCACGCTCCCCTGTTTCTTCCTGTAATGGCCCTAATCTCCTTTGTGAGGGATCCACCCTTTTGACCTAATTGCCTCCCAAAGGACACACCTCCTCATACCGCATTAGTGGTTAGGATTTTAACATGTGGATTTTGGGGGGACACAAGCATTCAGTTTATAACAGTTTTGTATTCCCAATACCTATCATGATGCCTGACATATAATATATACTAGTATAGATTGTTGAATAATTGAATACATTTCATCGGATTTTCAGAAGAGCCTGGATTTCATAAAATATTCAGGGTAATTTGAGGGTGATCAGTTCTTCCAAAGCACCTGAAATACACAATGGTTACTGCATTTTTTTCTTCTTTCTAAACAATCTGCTCTAAGATTATTCCGGTATATTGTCAAAACTGGAAAGACTGGGACTTAACTGGGAGAGTGGAGAAACTCATTCACTTGCCACCACAGAGAGACAGTTGTGCCAGCCCTGTGATTAAAACACTCCTCAAGGAGATAGAGGAGCTTGTCTTGTAGCGGAAGGACAGGCAGACAGACAGACAGACAGACAGACACACACACACACACACACACACACACACAATTCTCGGGTAGTGTGTCAAGTGCTGTGTGAGCTGCTTAGAGAAGGAGGAACTTCTCTGGCTTGCCTGTGAGAATGTTCAAGGAATGAGAAATGGTCTATGGCTTGTAGGTGAGGAGATATTTTCCAAGGTGAGAGACAGTGATGGGTCACCACGTACAAGAGTCATGGAGATGGGAAAGTGCCAGGCATGATCAGCAGAATGGCAGGACATGCAGTGGAGTTAGAATCCAGGGTGTGTTGGGGCAGGAGAGATATCTAGAGATGAGCCTGAAAAGAAAATTGGGGTAGATTTTGAGGAGCCTCATGTGCTATTCTTTGGAGGCTGAATTTTTATTCTTTGGCCTTAGAAAATTCATGGATTTTTATCATGATATTTTGTAAAATGGCTCTCAAGGCTTAGGAGGAGCATCTTAGTATATTCATCAGGATTGATGCTATGGAATCAGGAGGGGTGTACAAACTCTTAGCTCCTTCATCTGCCCCTGTGTGATCCTGAACTGTGCACCTATACTTTTTGGGTCTGGGCTTGCTCATCTGCACAATGGTGATCATGATACCAAATTTTCAGGTATGTCGTGAGGATTAAATGAGACACACATTGCTTGTCATAAAGTCATCTTGCAATCAGTAATGATAGTATCCCTTATCTGAGTCTTGGACTTGAGAGCCCTTTAGGATTTTTGAAACTATTTTAGTTGTAGTGACTCCTGTGGACCCCTTTTGAAAACGCAGAAGTTTTCTTGGGCTGGCTTGCTTGTGTTATCCCTAACGGGAAGTGCCTGTGACTGGTGATAGGGTATAATGCTTTGTTGGCCTCACTGGACTTCACTGTTATTGTGACTTAATTGAAAATTTTCCGCACTAATGCAAAACATTTATTTTTTAGAAGTTTTTATTTAGGAGTTAGAAATGGAGTCAACATATCTTCGAAAGTGCCTTGGGACATGTCTAACTCAAGGACTTGCAGAGGTGGCAAGAGTTCGTCCAGTGGATCCAATAGAATATTTAGCATTGTGGATTTACAAGTATAAGGAAAATGTGACCATGCAAGAACTGGTAAGTATGGATCTACTTTAAGGAAATTGGAAGAGTAAAATAATTGGTTCAACAAGTCTGATTTTTTAAAAAGTTCAATATTGTTATTTCTTTCTGTTATAAAAATGTTTATTATAAAAACACTTGGACAGCATGAAAAAGCAGAAAGAAGAAAATACTCAAGAAGACTTCTATTTACATTTTTAGGTATTTTCTTCTATGTGTAGTCTTTTTTCTACACTTTGGTCTGTAGATTATTTTTTATGTATTTAATTTTTGGTGGCTGGCTGGCACGGGGATCTGAACCCTTGACCTTGGTGTTACCAACATCGCACTCTAACCAACTGAGCTAACTGGCCAGCCCTGTAGATTATTATTTTTTTCATGTACTTGTAATTATATTCAATGTATAATTTTAATTTTGTGCTCTTTGTTCAAATAAAACATACGTATCCCCAAATTATTATATAGTTTCCAAATGGCTAGACTATAATTTGCTTAACCCTTTTCCTATTGTTGGTGATTAAGATGCTTTCAGGATTGTTTTTACAAATTGTTTGGTCTCTAACAAGTAATGTACTATTCTTTTAAACAATGCTAGCAACAAAAGGAAATGGCCGAGTTGGAGCGTGAAAGAGAATTAGCTCTGATGGAGCAAGAAATGATGGAGAGGCCCAGAGAAAAGGAGATCTTGTTCCAGCAGGTGAGACAAATTGGAGAGTTCAGAGGTGACTGAAGTCAGTGGTGTCAACCTCGATGTGGAACAACCCAAATGCTGAAAAACTCCAGCTCTTGTTACTTAGATATGGCTCTCTAACATCTTCATCTTTATGTATGTGTATGTTTTCTTTGCTGGAGAAGCAATGAGGTAAGAGGACAACTCAGAGTGTGTCCTGTCATGGAAGCTGAGGTGAAAGAGCATTTGTAGACGTCAGTGGTCAACCATGTTTATTGCTGAACTGAAAAGTGTTCCTTCAAGGTCACTGGCAATTTGATGGGAGCAGTGAGGGTGGAATGGTGGGGATGGGATGGGTTAAGCAGAGGAAATGGAAAGTGTAGTAACATTTTCAAGGAAGTTTTGAAGGAAGAAGAGATGTTTTTTGTTTTGATTTAGGAACACGTAGGCTGGAGTGGGACATTAGGAAATGCAGGGGATGATTCATTGAGTCAGCTTTCCATGGACAAGAGGAAATGGGATTTAGAATGTAGTTAGGCAGGTAGAAGGGCACTTCTTTGATAGATTGTGGGACCAAGCCATAATTAATGGATTAAAAATGGTGGTGATGGGCATGGTTTGGAGGGCTTTGAAAGGACAGTGAATGAGGAGGTTAGTCTCTCTCTCTGCTCCACTATTTTCTGCCATGTGAGACCCTGGGCCACCACCAAGATCCTCGCCAGTTGTGTTCCTGGACTTTGGACTTCCTAGCCTCCAAAACTGTAGGCAATAAATTTTGTTTTCTTTATAGGTCATCCAGTTCCAGGTATTTCGTTATAAGCAACAGAAAGGGACTAATACACAGAGGGAGAGAGGAGAGGATGGCATAGGTACATGTGGGTATGTAGGTTTCATGGCACAAAGTTGGAAGCAGCTTCTGTGCAACTATTTCTGTCTTTTTTGTTAGGTAGGGACCATGACCATCTGCCAAGAATTAGGTGATAAGGTAGGAGGCATGGGGAGAGTGGTGAAGGTTTGAAATGGTGGGTTTGGAGAAGGGAAGAGAGAGTGGACCGAGAAAACATGGCATTACTTAGTAGCAGTTGGAGACCAAGTATTCATAATGTGCCATTTGGTTTTGTCATGTAATTATGTGATTTTCTTCACTTATGCCTAGATATCTGAGTAAAGATGCAGAGAAGGCATACTGTTTGATAGAAGTAGATTTGGGGTAACAGGATTGGGAGCTGAAGATGTTGGTAAGGGAATGATTGAAGGGATGGGTCATGGAGTATAGGCTGGATGGGGAAACTTACGGAGTGGCTTCTCGACTAAATTTATAGAGAGCTTCTAATCTAAATTTAAGCCACATCTATAATTTTATCATATAGTATTTAATTTTATAGTCTTGACTTAAGTCTACACATTTTAAAAAGGGAAGGAAGCCTGTTGTTTGGATGCATAGATAAAAAGAAAAATGTAGACCTGGCAAATAGTTTCTCTGACTAATCTCTCATCCTTGATATTAAGGTAGGAAATTCTAGACACCTTAGATAGATAGAATGATTGAAAACTTTGCTGCTTCTGAGTCTTCATTTTCAGTCATTTGCTTATTCTTGAGGGGAAGTTGCAAAGTGTTGAGTTGGGTGTCAAACTATCATCCAAATAGGCAAGATGGAGGGGCTGCAGGCCCCCCAGCCCAGGCCATTTCCCACCGCTTAGAGAAGCCCAAGAGCCACCGGGCCCACACACCCTGAGTCAGCAATGCTGGAACAGGAAGGCACTGTGGGACCCCCACCCCAGGCCAGTGCCCACCACCCAGAGAAGCCTAGGAGCCACCAGGTCCACATGCCCTGAGTCAGCCATGCCACAACAGGCAGGTGCCATGGGACCCCCAGCCCAGACAGTCCCTACTACCCAGAGAGGCCCAAGAGCCACTGGGCCCACATACTGTGAGTCAGCTGTGCTGGAACAGGAAGGCACTGTGGGTCCCCCAGCCCAGGCTAGTGCCCACCATCCAGAGAGGCCTAAGAGCCACCAGGTCCACATGCCCTGAGTCAGCCATGCCACAACAGGCAGGTGCCATGGGACCCCCAGCCCAGACAGTCCCTGCTGCCCAGAGAGGCCCAAGAGCCACCAGGCCCACATGCCCTGAGCCAGCGAAGCTGGGACAGGCAGGTGCTGTGGGGCCCTCAGCCCAGGCTAGTCCCCACTGCCCAGAATTGGCAGTCCCTTCAGGATCCAGGCCAACATCAGGGTGGAATGAGGAGACCATGATACCCCCTGCCACAATGACTAAACACCAAAGGAAAGATACCAGAAATATGAAAAATCAAGAAAGTTCATCACCACTAAAAGCAAATAATAACTCTCAAGCTCTAGATCCTATAGAACAGGAAGTCCTTGAAATGACTGACAAGGAATTTTGAGCAACAATTTTAAAGAAACTAAATGAGATACAAGAAAACTCAGTTAGACAACACAGTGAAATGAGAAAAATATACAGGACCTGAAAGAAGAAATACGCAAAGAAATCAATGTCCTGAGAAAGAATGTGGCAGAGCTTGTGGAGCTGAAGGATTCATTCAACAAAATAAAAAACACAATAGAGAGTCTAACTAGCAGGCTAGAATAAGCAGAAGAGAGAATTTCTGAGCTTGAAGACAGGCTGTTTGAATTAACACAGGTGGACCAGAAAAAAGAATTTACAAAATTGAAGAAAATCTAAGTGAGATAACAGACAACCTTAAGTGCTCTAATATCCGAATTATGGGCATTCCAGAAGGGGAGGAAAAAGGAAATGCCATTGAAAACATATTCAATGAAATAATAACAGAAAACAGATCTTCAGATTCAGGAGGCCAAAAGATCCCCAAACATATTCAACCCAAAAAAGTCATCTCCAAGGCATGTTAAACTCAAACTGGCAAAACTCAAAAACAGGAAATATTAAAAGCTGCAAGAGAGAAGCAGCACGTCACCTATAAGGGAGCCCTAATCAGACTAACATCAGACTTTTCATCAGAAACCCTAAAAGCCAGAAAAGAATGGGATGATATATTCATAACACTAAAAGATAAAAATTGCCAGCCAAGAATATTTAACCCAGCAAGGCTGTCCTTCCAAAATGAAGGAAAAATAGTATATTTCTGAGGCAAAAACTGTGGGAGTTCACTACCACATGACCAGCCTTACAAGAAATTCCCAAGGGAGTACTGGGTTTGATACCTGAAAACAACCATCACTTCCATGAATACTCAAGAAAGAACAAAACCAAGCAGTAAAACAAAAATGCTAGCAATAAAGAGAAAAAATAGTTTACCACCCCAAGAAACCAAAAAACACAGAAGACAAATGGAAAATCAGAAAGAAAGGAACAAAAAGTACTTAAGACATCTAAACAAAAATCAATAAAATGCTAGAAGTAAATCAACATCTTTCAATAATAACTCTAAATGTAGAAGGATTAAATTCTCCACTCCAAAAACAGAGACTGACTGGATTAAAAAGAACAATATGCTGCCTTCAAGAGACTCACCTCACCTGTAAAGACACACAGAGACTAAGAACGAAAGGATGGAGAAAGACATACCATGCAAACAGAAGTGAAAAATGAGCTGGAGTAGCTATTCTTATATCAGATAAAATAGACTTTAAAGTAAAAACCATTAAAAGAGATAAAGAAGGCAACTATGTAATCATAAAAGGATCTATCCATCAAGAAGACATAACAATCATAAATATATATACACCCAATATCAGAGCAGCCAGATTTATAAAGCAAACAATATTAGATCTAAGAATGAGATAGACACTAACACCATAATAGTGGGGGACCTGAACACCCCACTCTCAATATTGGACAGATCATCTAGGCAAAATTTAATAGAGAAACATAAGATCTCAACAACACTTTAGACCAATTGAACTTGGCAGAACATTTACAGAACATTTACGGAACATTCCATCCAACAACCTCACAATATTCATTCTTCTCATCAGTACATGGAACATTTTTCCAGAATGGACCATGTGTTAGGTCACAAAGCAAGTCTTAAGATATTCAAAAAAATTGGAATTATTCCATGTATTTTTTCAGATCACAATGGATTATAATTAGAAATCAATAACAAATGAAACTACGGAAACTGTACAAACACATGGAAATTAAACAACATTCTTCTTAATGACATATGGGTCAAAGAAGAAATTAAACAAACTCAAAAAATTTATTGAAACTAATGAAAACAATGATACATCATACCAAAACCTGTGGGATACTGCAAATGCAGTACTAAGTGGGAAATTTATCGCATTAAATGCTTACTTCAGAAGAATGGAAAGATGGCAAGTAAACAACCTAACACTTCACCTTAAAGAACTAGAAAAACAAGAACAATCCAAATCCCAAATTAGCAGACAGAAAGAAATAAGATCAGAGTAGAACTAAATGAAATAGAAACCTGAAAAATGATACAAAAGATCAATGAAACAAAAGTTGGTTTTTGAAAAGATTAATAAAATTAACAAACCATTAGCAAAGTTAACTAAAAAAAGGAGAAGACTCAAGTAACAAAAATTAGAAATGAAACAGGTGATATTACAACTGATACCTCAGAAATACAAGAAATACTTAGAGATAAGAACAAACTATATGCTAACAAATTTGAAAATCTGGAGGAAATGGATAAATTTCTGGGCACATACAAACTGCCAAAACCGAGCCAAGAAGATATAGAAAATCTGAACAGACCAATAACAATAAAAGAGATTGAGGCTGTTATCAGAAGGCTCCCAACAAAGAAAAGCCCAGGACCAGATGGGTTTGCTTCAGAATTCTACCAAACCTTCAAAGAGGAACTGATACCACTTCTCTACAAACTGTTCCAAAAGATTGAAACAGAGGCAATTCTCCCAAACTCATTCTATGAAGCAAACATCATCCTGATACCAAACCCAGGTAAAGATACAACTAAAAAAGAAAACTACAGGCTGATATCCTTGATGAATATAGATGCAAAAATCCTCAATAAAATAGTAGCTAACAG